AGTCAATTCAATAATAACACTGATGATCTTCAAACAAGACTCAACCTTTGACCCTCTTTATTGATAGCGTAACTATGACGATATAAGCTTATAATATCCCGGTCAGAAATAAAACATTTTATAGAAATAACTTGTTTATTTTGACGTTTTGTTTACGTTTAAATTGTTTACGTTTTTGTAATGTTCTCAGCAACTTCACTCAAGCGCCCTAGAAGCTAAGTATAGCATATGTAATATTTCTCTTCAGTATCCATATGTATTGTATGTGTTTGGATATAATTTGATCTGTACTCTATGTATAATATGTATGTATATGTGTGCGTACAGAATCGGTACACTGCCGCTTCCACCTCGTCTTAGAATTTGTCGGCAATTAAAAATGAGATCCATAGTCGTTGGCCGCTGGCCGGTCAAAAAAAAGTTTTTCATCAACTATTGACGTCTCATTTGAAAAATAATTTATTTAACCCCATTGAATTCTACGTAAAAAGTGCATTGGAAATGTTTTCATAGAAACAAGAAATTTTTGACCTAAGAAACAGCCATCAGTTTTCATCTATCTAGTTTGAAAACGGAAGTTTCCCATGAAAAGTGTCCAATTTAGCCCACTCTGTACAAATATGTAGTTGTTTGGTGATTGAAGAAAATTTGCATCTTTGTCAATAAGACCCGATGTTCTTTGGACAATAAAGCATAATATTATAATAATAATAAGTGTTATTTCAAATGTAAACTAGAAGAAAGAGGCTATCTGAAATAATAACTTATTTCTACGGGAATAACGAACTTCACAGAATTTTCTCACTATGTCTTCTACATTTGCACTGTCGAAAGCAAATCTGTTCCTTTAAACTGGCAATCAGAAATTAATGACATTTGCATTATGAAACCAATAAAATCTTATTCTTCTTCGAAATCTTGTCTCAACTGCAACCTCAGCAAAGGCCAATGATGTCTCAATAAGTTGGAAACATATAGAAAACTTTTTATTATTAATTTTAGTAAAAAAAAAAATATCCTTCAGAAAAAGTTCAGCAAGAACTAAAACCTGAAATGCTATTATCATTATCAAATTATTTAATTCGCATCTGAGGTTTGTCAAAAAATATGAATTTTGCTCGGGAGTAAAGTACTCTTATTTTTGGCAGTATCCAAAATAGTTATTTAAAAAAATTATCATAATTGAAGATCATTTCCAAATATGCAATTGCACTAACCTCAAATTATTTTTTATTCCTCGAAATATATCTACAATAACAACGAAAATTCAACTGTAATTATTGCATGTGGAATATTAAAAAAAAACATTGATAAACGAAACAGTTCTCATGGTTTCTTTATTCTCAAGAGATAAATGTTCATTATTGGTGTCATCAAGGTCAAAATCAAGTGGAATAATTGGTAAAAAATAACAGAACATGTTTTTTTGTGAATTAATGTAATTTTATAATTAGATGTACTTTCCAATTCTAATCAACTTGCTCCAATAACAATTTTCGATATTGTTAAAAACGGAGCAAAATCCATATTTTTTGACAAACCTGGTATACGACTGAAAGAATTTTTTTCTTTTAAAATTGCTAATAAAATAATTATATATGGTTCCAACTTGCTTGAGACATACAGATGAGTGCATGGTTGATGAAAACTGTTCTATACATTTTTGGTTTGTAGTTCGAAACATTTTTTATTGAAAACTACCTGAAAACCTGAAAAACTACAATAAACAACATACTTGAACAGATTCAAATTTTCAAATATTTTATTGTGTTCAATAGAGAAAGTCCATTTAATCCGTTAAAAGTAATTTTTTCAAAACTTTTTCAGTAGTTTTTATTCTGCTCATTTTTGAAATTCATACTGCCAGTTAGATGATTATCATATGAAAATTCACTTAAAAATAAAAAATAAAGAATATCATTTCAAATACTAGGAATCGCATGTTGAAAGGTAAGACCTCGTTGATTCTTAGCTCGCACAAGTTTCGACTTTTGAGGGCTATCGTTCGTAGGGGGCGACAGCTAGTTGACAGAAAAACATATTTTCAAACAGATAAGGATTTTAATTTATCTCTGATGAATTATTTTTTCAAAATCACTTTTGTTTCATTAACACCAATGGAAAAATAATGTTAATGCCCCTGCTTCTTCCTACTGGTCCATACTGCAACGTCGTGTGATTTTTCATACTGAAATTCTCATACACAGGGTGGGCCAAATTGCATTCATTACTTTTTCATACAGGTGGGTCATCAAAATTGTACCGCACATTGTAGGTAAATGGACTGACACCTATCAGAAAACAACTACTCCCCTGGCTAATACCACGAAGGGCGTTGGATTATATAATGCAAGGTAGTGTCTATCATCAATATAAAGTCGATTATTTCCGATAATTGAAAATCGAATTCCTTCAAAGTATCATTCCTCGAACTAGGCTGAAGTTGACATCTGCCCCATCTGCCTGTGAACGAGGTAACCAACCGCAAATCCGAAATTTGCACAATTCCTCGTATAAGGATAAAAAAACTTTTCACATATAGTCAGTGGACATACTTGAAGACTGTCTATAAATCAAATCATCTAAAAGAACAATTCGTTCAGACTAGTCTCAACTCTCTACACTGTAGATTAATAGACTGACACCTATCAGAAAACCACTACTCCCCTGGCTAATACCACGAAGAACATTATATCCGACAGGTATCAGTGCAGGATTATTCACTGAAGTTATTCCTGCATATGCTATTGGCGATGAAAATCTATTGCGGCAGTTGTATAGAGTACAAAATTCTACAAAGGACAGAGCAGAATGAATATTTATTGAGATATGGAGCTACAGAAACACATGACAAAACGGAGAAAACTTTTGAAACAACCTTATTTAACCACAGACGAACCCTATAATAACTGTGATATTGATTGGTATAACAATTTTTCAAGAACATTTCTTTTGTTTCAGGAAAATAGAACTCTCCAAACTGGACAGGACATCAAGAGCCAATGAGATGGATCACCTCCACTCAGGTAAATATAAAATCCTAAAATCATTCATGGTCATACCACCACTGTCCTTGATTTAAGTATGGTCGAAGTAAACGATATTGTGCACACTTAAAGTTGTCGGCATTCTCAAAGGACAAAAAACCAATATATAGAAATGAACCGGCTGCGAAATAGTCCACGTGGCCGGAAGAATTGGCGGTTCGTATTGGATAATTTTTACTAACCGAGATTAATGATTGGCTGAAGAGTCATAAAATTTAATTTGAAGTCATGTTACAGTGACGAATAGAAATCGGGGAATGTAGGGATGGTTATCGCCGTCGTGTTCAGTTCAGGAACTGATCGCGATTTCAGTATTGAAATTCGATATTCATGCAGTTATAATTACTTAAAATTTTTGTTGTCTGTTTAAAATGTGGCGTCTTTGAACAAGTTCTAATAGTGATACCGAGTGTGATAACAACGCAGACTTTTTCCAGTCCAGTGATTCCAATAGCGATGGTGAACAATGCAAAAAAGAGATACCAATGAATAAGATTCGGATGCATTTGAATATTGAAACACAGAGAGTATGTTTCTATGTATATAAGAATCTACATCTCAAGTTTGGTTTCGAGGAAAACAAACTATTACAAGCAACATCAGATTTGACCGAAATTCCTTTCTCAACTGTACGTAAAATAGTCAAAAACAAACCTTATGAACGCAAGACGCGATGTGATACAGGATTACCAAAACCTTTAGATGTTCATCTAATAAAATAATTGAAAAAAACAATATACGACTGTTACAAAAGGAATGAGATTCCTACAACTGAAATCATAAGGAAGAAATTGAATACTTCCGGCCATAACGTGAGCTGCTGTGACAAAACTCTTCAGAATTGCATAAAGAAACTAGGATGTAAATTTAAAATAATGAAAAAACGTCAAGCAGTTATGGAAAGCAGAAGAATAGTGGAATTGCGTAACAAATACTTAGAACAAATAACTAAATGTATACAAGAACATCGGCAAATTTTCTATTTGGACGAAACTTGGGATGACACTCACGACACAGTGACGAAGGGGTGGATTGATGGTTCGAGAATGTGTACGCCTAACATGCCTGCAAACAAAGGATCGCGACTGATCATTGTGCATTGCGGAGGAAGTAAAGAATGGGTTCCGAATTCTTTGAAATTATGTAGAAAAAAACTCGAGGACTGCAATGTGAAAGCTAGTATTTTCAAGGAATGGTTTGAAAACACATTGATCCCAAATTTGGATGAAATAGTGTAATAGTTCTTGACAACGCTTCCTATCATTCTCGACAGCTCATCAAAATACCGAATAAAAATTCGAGAAAAGATGAAATACAAAGTTTTCTAATGGATAACAATTTGTAGGTATGTTGAAGATTACTAAACCAAAAACCAACTACTTGAAGTTTTACAAACCAAAAATTTGATAAAGTTTTATGCCCTTGAGAGTATTGCTGAAAAGTATGAAAGTATGGACACACCATACTGAGACTTCCTCCCTATTTTTGTGTTTTCGATTCCATCGAGTTGGTTTGGAAAAAATTGAAACAAAGCATCAGGCGTAAAAATAATTTTCCAAAATTTGATATGAAGGTAATAGAGCTAATTGAAGAAGAAGTATCTAATATTATCGAAGAATACTGACAGAAGAGGATTAAAAAAGTAGTTTTAGTTGAATAAGACTATATGGAAGTGTTTTGGGAGCGATCGATTGTATATAAATGTGGTTAAGTAGTATTCAGAAGTATTTTCAATTAACACCCTATTATTTGAATCCCCACTTTCCCTACTTCCTTATATAATTGAAAATGATAATTGAGTAACGAAATTAATTAGCTCTCTAACTGTATTATCAAAGAGGAGCTGTTGAAAGGTAGGTTGCACTATATCGTTTACTTGAACTATAACACTCATAAACATTTTTCTGACTCAGAATTCCATCACCTTATGCCACCATCAACATTTCAAGTGTTTTGATTCCTTTTTTACACAAAATTTGATGCAAATTTTCTGATCCATTTTTTCGATAGCAGAAAATTGCCGAACACGGAAAATAATTCTAACTTTTATGCCTCTCACCTAAAAACTGAACATATTCAAAAAACACTATTGTCAGATTTTCACCGATTGACTGAGTGAACAAAGCACCCACGTCGAACCGCCCGGCTACCGACCAACCTGTTCATCATGTTCATGTTCAGTATATATGATGGAAATGGCCGATTCTTGATGAAAATCCGTAACTAACGTATTCAAGGAACACTTTATTGTGAAATTTCCACTGAACAGTTTTACAAAAATGCAACACGCCCAAAGAAGCCATTCTATGGCGAAACACGTGTTGCGTTTTTGTAAAACTGTTCAGTGAAAATCTCACAATAAAGTGTTCCTTGAATACGTTAGTTACGGATTTTCATCAAGAATCGACCATTTCCATCATATAAACTGAACATGCTGAACAGGTTGGTCGGTAGCCGGGCGGTTCGACGTGGGTGCTTTGTTCACTCAGTCAATGGGCCGATGTGTGAGTCGATGGTTCAAGCCCCAGGCTGAACGATCGATTTTCACTTGCTATCGTCCAACCCGTGTTAGGAATCACACGTTAGAAGGTAATACCTCGTTAGTCCCTAGCTAGCACAAGTTTCGACTTCTGAGGGTTGTCGTTCGTAGGGGTGCAATAGCTGGTTAACGGAAAAAACCTATTCTAAACATAACATTTTTTTAAAGCTGGAACTATGAACGTATGTTCGAGACGAGTGTACCACCATAAAAATAATTTGAAAAAAGCTTATCGAATATACGTACCCTGCGAAATTTGAAAATTCACCTTATTTTTCGAACAGACCTCGTATGTAGAAAAAAACTGGCTATAAATTGGAAAAACTGATTAATTCACATTTCAATTGAATACTCTTTTTGTAAACTTCCAAGTGGAAATCTTAGATAACGTGTGTTTTCTAAATACGTTTCGATGGATTTTCATGAAGTATTGATCAGTTCAATCATATTTTTCCAATTTATTTTTGATAATATGCTCAATTATCTAAGGTATTATCACTAATTTCTTCGTTTCAGGTTATCTAGGACATTCCCGGGCTCCTTTCAATCATCTGGATGTTTCGACTCAGGTAAAGTTTAATCCGGCATTAGTTTATTTTCACTTTGACTGTATTACGATGTCAAAAAGTTTATACCTATGTTCTGTAACAATATCAAAACTCCCAGTTGAACTTGAGGTAGAATCAAATACTTAAAACTAATAAGTGCGGACGTAACGAGCCCCTCATTTCTTAACACGTTAACCGCCCAAAAATAATTTTTTTTCCCAGTCAAACGCATGCATTTCTCTACCTGGTTACTTTTCAGTGGTGTAATTTCATTATAAATAGTCAGAAAAATAAAATATTACGTATTTTTCACGAAAAGAAACACTTTCAACTCGAGACTCGACGTCAGGCTCACGCGGCCTGTGGTGAGTCAAAGTCTCACGTCTCACGTAGGTGAAAAGGTAATTCTCATATTGGTCTTGCGCAAGAAAATACGTTGGATTTGTTAGAATTGTATAGTTCATCAATAGCTCATTCCCAAAACGATCCTTCTGTAGATATTCAATGTTAATAAAGTATAATTGAATTTAACACTCTGAATGCATTTTACGTGAACGAGTTACAATCAAATGTAACACTCTATTTTGAAATTGATTTTAGGACAAGTTATAATTGAATGTAACACTCTCCAACTTTAATTTGAAGTTGTGGACAAGTTACAATTGGATGTAACACTCTCCAACTTGAATTTGAATTGTGGACATGTAACAATTGAATGTAACACTCTCCAAGTTGAATTTGATTTGTGGATAAGTTCCAATTGAATGTAACACTCTTCATTTTGAATTTAATTTGAGGACAAGTTACATCTGAATGTAACACTCTCCAACTTAAATTTGATTTGTGGACAAGTTACAAATGAATGTTAACACTCTCCAACTTGAATTTGGTCTGAAGTATAAATTTTGTTAAGTGTATATAATAAGCATTCATTACGTTTTACTGTTGGAAAGCAGAGTATAACAAAAATAAACCGACGGCAACAAAGAATATTCGTTTGAAATGAAATCACTTTATCGAATGGCGCGAAAGATGTTATCTTTGCACTCTGCTGGCACTGCTCCATGACCTTCATTTGAATAAATTGGAAACTCATTTCCCGCCGCCTTTCTTGGCTCATTCATGTAGGAATTTCAATTTCGCGGGCAACTTCACCTTTTCATTGAGATACCTGACCTGGACGATCCCTTATTAAACTTCCTGCTAGACTAATATTTTGTTTTCCTTGAAATGGAAGTCTGCGGTGATCCCGCGGTTAGTTCAGAGAGTAAAAAGGAGTGAAACACTCTCCTCTTTAAATTTAATTTGAGGACAAGTTACAATTGAATGTAACACTCTCCAACTTGAATTTGATTTCTGGACAAGTTACAATTGGATAGTCTATGTGCTTTTTACTGATAACCATGTCTTCACAAAAAAAGAGGAAATTGACATTCCCATTTTTTAAGCTAATTGTTGGTGAATCATCGTCTTTCTAAAGTTAAATTATCACCACGAACTGTTAGCGAATGTAGTCAGCTTGAAGTCTCTCCTTGACCATGGCCTCATTCGATCAAAAATATCCGATCTATCGAAAACTTCAAAAAGAACAAACCTAAAAAGTGAAGGTGATGGCCAAAACCTTTAATTCTTAGGCGTGTTATTTATAACTTAAGAACAAACCTGAAATTTGAAAGTGATGTTCAGAATATCTAGTTCTCAGGCTTATTCCCCCCAACCTTAGATCAAACCTAAGAAATGAAGGTGACGGCCAATTCTCAAAAGCTTGTTCTTTTTGACCGAAGAACAAACCTGAGGAGTCGAAGGTGGTGGCCATTACCTTCAATTCTTAGGTTTACTGTTAGGTTGAAAAAAACAAGTCTGAAAATTGAAGTTGGTTACCAGTGGTTTAGCCTAGCACTAATAATGAAACCTGGTGGGTCAAAATAGCCCTGTCTGGTGTTGAATCACAAATTTATCGATATGCTTTGCAGTGAAAGACAGAAGATGAATCTCGTTTGGCGTTCAGTGTCAACACTTCGCTTTGCAACGGACCGCCTTTAGTTTGAACTATCGATTATGAAATAATTATACTAGGTGGCCATTCAGCAACCTCATAATAGCCCAAAACCCCAAAACTGTCGATTATAGAAAAAAAACCAGTTCAGCACCTTCATAATAGTCCAAACTTGTCGATTATAGAAAATCAACAGTTTATACTGTAGTATATGACTAATTTACTGTTTGAGCAGTTAAAACTGTCGGTTACATATAATAGATTTTGGATAAACAACAGTTTGAACTATCGATTAAAAAATACGCGGTTATTCAGCACTCTCACAATATCCCAAAACTGTCGATTATACAAAACCAACAGTTTATATTGTCCTATATGGCTAATTTACAGTTTAAACAGTTGAAACTTTCGGTTATATATAATTGATTATGGATTAATGATAGTTCAAACTATCGATTATGAAATAATAATACTACGTGGCGATTCAGCACCCTCATAATAGCCCAAAACTGTTGATGATAAAAAACCAACAGTTCATACTGTCGTATATGGCTAATTTACATTAATTTACGGCTAATTTATGACAGTTTAAACTGTCGGTCATATATAATTTATTATGGATAGTTTGAACTATCGATTGTGAAATAATAATACTACGCAGCCATTCAGCACTCTCACAATAGTCCAAATCTGTCGATTATACAATATAGCTATATAGCTAATTTACAATTCGAACAGTTGAAACTGACGATTATATATAATTGAGTATGGATAAACTTTTGTTTGAACTATAGATTATGAAATAATAATATCACGTGGCCATTCAGCACCCTCATAATAGCCCAAAACTGTCGATTAAAGAAAACCAACGAGTTATACTGTCGTATATGGCTAATTTACTGTTTGAACAGTTAAAACTGTTGGTTATATATAATTGATTATGGATAAACAATAGTTTGAACTATCGATTATAAAATAATAAAACTACGTGGCGATTCAGCACCTTCATAATAGCTCAATATTCGCGATTCCATTTAATATCCAAACGCTTCCGAAAATCCCCCACCTCTCAAATTACTGTGGCATTCACACTGACCCGAATTTCGCAAATAACCCTCGATCCTTATCGATTGCAGGCGAACATCCAGCAGCTGGCACTGACCTACGAATCTGAAGATGAAATGAGAATCAGGAATAAGGAACGGCGGGATACTGCCCATTACAACCGGCAGGACATCCGCGAGCAGTATTGCATCACGGAGAGAGGATTGGGGGCGCTGGAAAACAAGCAGAGCCTCTTCGGATGTCTGTCGACCCACCACGGATCGCCCTGTTCGAATCGCACGTCGTTATTCACGGCCTGCGTGCGACAGAAAGCTCCGTCAGACGAAAACTTGTACGACCTACAGAGGCGGCATCCCTCGGAATATGCTCCGTATCCACGGAGAAGCAGGTGAGAAATCAAATGATGACGACTGACCGGGTAACCAATTAATTGAGGTTGCGTGTAACTAGGCCGATCCGGTTCGAAGGACCGTGAAATATGTGGGATGTTGGCGGTTTAATTTTAAACTATGATAATCTCATGAGACATCTTCTGATTCAAATGTGGTTTGAGCGTGGTTGTCAACGTTTCGAGAGGTTTCGATTACAATTTTCCAAAAAAATACAATAGATTTGAAATTGTGAAAAAAATATTGAAAACGAGAAGAATTTTAATTTTTCTCAAAAAATATTTATTTATTCATCAATTTCTATTTTGTCCCCTCCAAAGTAGTCTCCCTCAGATATGATACACTTGTCAGCGTTTTCTCCAATCCTCGAAGTAGTTCTGATATGCACTTTTTGATATGTCCTTGAGCTTTTTCAACAATTCGATTTCTATCTTCTCAATAGTCGTAAAACGCTGTCCTTTCACGGATCTCTTCAATCTTGGGAACAAAAAGTCGCAGGGGGCCAAATCTGGTGAATGTGGTGGCTGAAGCATGATTACGATGTTGTTTTTGGCCAAAAAGTTACGACCAAGTAATAACGAGTGAGCAGATGCATTATCGTGATGTAAAAGCCATGAATTATTTTTTCACAATACCGGTCGTTTTCTTCGTATTGCTTCTCGCAAGCAACGCATAACATCAAAATTATACTCCTTATTGACCATACGACCATGTGGCAAGAACTCCCGATGCACAACGCCATGGTAATCGAAAAAAACAGTGAACAAAACCCTGACAATTTCTTGAACTTGGCGTGCCTTTTTTGGTCTTGACTCTCTTGGGCTCTTCCTTTGAGACGATTGGACTTTGGTTCCGATGTCATAACCGTATACCCATGATTCGTCACCAGTTATGACTCTTTTGAGCAAATCTGGTTCGCTGTTGACGTCATTCATCACCTCCTGACGTTTTTTTTGGTCAAAATTCAGAAATTTTGGAAGAAACTTAGCTGCTACAGGCGTCATGTCCAAAAGTTCTGAAAAAATGGCAGCCATGAGCCAATCGATATGCTGAAACCTCAGCAATTTCTCTTATAGTGATTCGACGATTCTCTATAACAATTTTGTTCACTGTCTCATTTTCATCGGTTGTTGGTGTGCTGGGACAAAAATGAATAATTCTCAATTTTTTATCTTACATAATTTTTTAAAAATGAAAAGTATCCTATGTTACTTCTAATACCTCCAAGAACATGTGTACAAAATTTCATGATGATCGGTTGAGTAGTTTTCGCGTGAAACGAACAAACTTACATTCGCATTTAAAATATTATAGTAGGGATAGTAGGGATTTTCTCATATAAGTATTTAGGCGCATATCCTGTTTTGATTCTAAAAATAAAAATCAAACTATCCAACGTAGATTTTATAGAAGTGTGTCTGTTACATGTAAGTATGGTTTTGGTTTAGTAAATATAAAACAGTACTTATTACTTATTACCCTTACCCACGCCACTGTTGAAGTTGAACATTTTTGGACCATAGTTTGTATAGCAACCTATTCATTATTTATTTATTCATGTAGATTTACACCCTTGGATATGCGCATATCATTAAGAAACATCCTGTATAATTAGCATTTCAATTATTGTTCGCTAGATTCTCTTATACTTTCAAATTTGATACTCACATTTTTGATAATATTATCGTTTTTTGAAGAACTTATTCGAATATTTTGGTTTGGTTTATGGCTCTCATTGAATTTTAAAATTTCAGAATATAAAGATAACCTACTGTTCAGAAGATACCTAATTTTGAAACTTCAGCTCTCAGTTTTCATTTCATATAACCCAATTTCGGCAAACAAATTGGTATTTGGCAAGATGAGTTTCATTAAAAAATAAATGTGAAGTACAAATTTCTGTTGGAGTAAACAATTCGTAATATTACGGAACACCGTGCTTCATCAGTTATTGATTTCCACATACTACAGGGTCTTCCAAAAATGACTTCCGAACTTTGACAATTGATACCGGCCATCTTGTGATGCTACATGTGTCAAATTATTTGGCATTTATTTAGTCTGTTTTGCCAAATCACCATGGAAATACTTTTTTCCGTTAACCAGCTATCGCACCCCTACGAACGACAATCCTCAGAAGCGAAACGTGTGCGAACTATGAATTAACGAGGTCTTACCTTTCAACGTGTGATTCCTAACACGGGTTAGTCGATAGCAAGTGAAAATCCATCGTTCAGCCTGCGGCTTGAACCACCGACTCACACATCGCTCTATTGAGAGAGTGAACAAAGCACCCACGTCGAACCGCCCGGCTACCAACCTACCAAGCATTCAACAATCCCGCGCGCTTCGCCCATTTCACGGACGCCATAATCGTCCTCCTGAGAGGACTATTCGCAATGTGGTGGACTTTTTCTTCTAGAGTTTTCTCAAGTCGCAGATGTATGCGAATAAGCTACAGACCACAGCGGTTCTCAAAGCCAACATGTCACTTCGTTTCATTTAAATTTAAAGGTAGACAGCGCCTAATGGAAGGAAGACCCTATACTTTCGACTCCCAAGATGATTTCGAAATGATTGGTAATTTCGAAGTGAACGTATAATGTATTTCAGATATCCGTGGGGGCCCATCATGTCAGACATTTATCATTACGACGAAGATTTGAAATCATCCTATTTCCGAAGAAAAGTTGTAGTTGATCCCAGCCGTTACACCTGGATGCCCTCCGATGATGAATCTGTCAGAATGGAAAAGCCTAGGTCTATAATGGAAAACGACTGCCACGAACATACGATCAATAGGTTACCCTCAACTTTACCAGGGTAAGTAATTTTAATTTTATAAAGTACACTCAAGTTACATCATAACAAAACGAAGGAATGAAAAATCCACTGAAACCAACAGAAAATTACATTCGATGAAAACTTAAAAAGAAATTCCGTATGATCCCAGACCCTAAACTCTGTAACTATAGCAACCTCACCCCCTAGAGAGCGTTATTTAGATCGGATCGTATCGCTTCGCCTATAGAACAGTAAATAAAAAAGTCGCGTTCCCTGGGGCTTCAGTACGTATACTTTCCACACGGTCTTAACCAAAGAATCGTGGAACCTCAGTCAGCAGTTGAAGCCGACGTGGAAGGCATCGGTCACGTCCAATGTTGACATCGTGGTGAACGTTGACGACTGCTTCTCTGTTGGAGACTGTGTTCCCAACGATACCAATATCGAATCCAAACTCCAAAGCCTTGATAATCTTCTTGCAACCATCGTGGTTATATTTAGACACACTTCAGATACAATATGAGGATAGCGGGAAATTTGAAAAGCAATATTTGCTCCCAAGCTTCGACCTTCTTGTTAGTTTTCGACGAAGTTAGCCCCTCTAAACTAATTTTGGAGACGAGTACCGTGGGCGCCTGACAGCCTGTAATTCCTCAATGTTGAACGGCAGGGTGAGGAAAGGCTGGATATTCTCAACAATGTGGTCTCCGGTACGATTATTGCTTGACTTTAGTTGCCCCCCACATATGTCACTTATTGGTGTACCGGTTGAAGTTGATCTTGCTAGTTGAATCTCCTATATTATTTGATTCTATTACGTTCCATCCATTACTTAAATCATTACTCAAAGCAGAGTCAATTTGAGATTTTTGATCTTCAGTGTAACATTTAACCAAGTCCATTAGCTCAAACATTTCATTATTGAGTTCCCTCAAAAGAAAACCTAGAAACTCCTTTGCATCTTGTTGTCTACCTTGGATACAGGCGCTCCGCATGTTATGCAAAATTTTATGAAGTCAGTGGTAATTATAGCTGCTTGGTAATTTTTGGCATTTTTAGCCCCTCTCCTGTCTTTCGTCCTAATGTAGGAAGGTAAAGGGCCTACACACAATGGGAACCTGGTTAGCCAAACTTGGTTCGCACGAACCATATTCGTCATTTGTTATCCAGTGTGTGGTGTTTAACGAACCAAGATCGTCACAATTCGGGTTGGAAAGAATTTGTTCGGTTCACCGGCAGGGTTTACCAAGTTCGTCTGTGTGTGGAAGAGGGAAACCGTTGTTCGCCGTTTTCCTCAGTGCTTGTGCTGATATGGCGAATGAAAACCACGTCCTCCAAGTTTCTTCCAGTGGCCAGGTAGCGAGTTGTGTGAGTTGTTTTGATATGCAGGGTGTCACAAGTTCCAATAAATTATCGAATTCTGTTTCAGTCATTGTTGAATAATTGGTGTAATCGTCCGCACTGTTCTACCTAAGATGATATTAGAGATTGAGGTGAGACCACTTCTGTCTAACGAAGCCACTGCTTGGTCCATTGCGATCTCTTTTTTTTTTCTTGTAAAACCCCCAAACGCATAGAATACAACAGAAGCAACTGCAATCTTCGAAGGAGTTATCCCAACTGCTGGAATGAAACTGGTGAAGTGGCGAAGCGTTTTTCGTCTCCCTCCATTGTGTGTAGGGAGTGACGAACCAAGAACATGGTTCGCCGAACCAAGTTCAGTTCCCATGTGTGTAGGCCGCTTAAGTAATCAAACTGATCCACAAAACGACACATTCCAACTACAACCAGGTTGGATTTCCTCCTTTCGTTCGACAAGACATTTTAGCTCGGGCTGTTCAAAAAGTTGTGAAGTGGTGGACATGCGATCTGGGCTTGTATAATCGAGTTGATGTAGCAATTGATTTGATTAATCAGACACCTTGGCTGCAAACTCACTGCCCTACCGTCGATCGTGTATGTAGATAGAAACTCGCCCATCATATAACAGTCTGGATAAACAAACTGGTCGGACCTTCTAGAGTGCTTAAGGGAGAATATGGGTATGGGGAATTCTTGGCGTCTCAGACAAAAGCGACTTTGTCGAAAATGTTGACGGGATAAGTCGAAACATGGGCGTTTTCGGGTCCGAAAAGGCTTGCCCACGATTTTGTAACAAGGGTAGCGTTCGTTACTCCGACTCCATTGGGAATTAGTTCTTTTGGAGGCTATACGGATTCAGCCGAAGAACTCAGTTCAGCATGCTCACTGCACAAATGATCACAACTTTATTTCACTACTACACTGACAATACAACTTCAAGTAAACCAATCTTGATAGCTGAATTCGCACAGCCTCTTGTGCGGTAATGCTTATATAATCCGATGAAACTCTTTGGAACCTGATGTAATAATTCTCGAACAACCCGGCATATTTAGAATTTTCGAAAGAGACATAGGTGGGGCTGAGCGTAACTTTGACTGAGTTGCAGTTATAGTGAATCACACACCACCAGGAAGTGCCTGGTGTCTAACCGCTGTCCTGAACATTTTCTGTTGTAGTAGAGGATCCACTTTTCATCGCACATAACGATCCGATCCAAAAAAGGATCGTTCTCATTGCGCAAAAGCAAAGACAATCTCAGCCCATCGTTCAAATACCATCAAACACCACATAGGAGCTAACGTCCAGCTCTTTCGCCACCGTTTGTGATGGGCCAATCTCACCAGGGTCCTCGAATCCTCGTCCTGGATTATTGTAGGTCCACCACTTCCAGGCTCATCTTCACGGCTAACATCTCCGAAACGAAATTTTGCAAACCAACGTCGAACAGTGCGTTTATCAACACTATCATTGCCAAATACCTGGCTGTTTCGATAGCGCTTTGGTTCAATTAGAATTCGTAGAGAAAAATCGGCCGAAAATCGCTGAAAATAAGTTGAAAAGAGACAAAAATTTGGAATTTGGAAAAAAAGAACAGGATCAATGTATGGAGTACAAAATTCTATATTGAGCAGTAAATACCACGTAAAAGTAAATTCTTCTTTATAGCAAGACTGAAGTATAATTAGCTTCAGCCAGGAACAATCACCGCCGTCCATTCCCGGATCTTATCAGGCCAGATATTTCAATTTCTTCTACTTACCCGTATGTTTCAGATTATTACTCAATGACCAAATGTGCAAGTAATATGCAACAATGCTTAATTTAGTGTAAGCCACCACAGAGTACTGGGTGTAAGCGATTTCTTGTATTTTATCTTTCCCACCAACCGATTTCCTGGAGTCTTTGAAGTCCACTAGATACTCGTTAGGACAACAAGAGGATTGCTCCGAATTCTTAGGGTTCTTGTTGAATACTCTTCGTGAGCAAAAATATAGCAGAATCAATACTCCTGACCGATCTGGATTGAATGATTCCGTTCAGTCTATCTCGTCTTGTGTTTGTAGATCTTTTGCTGTAAAAATTATCACTTGTTTACTTTGTAGTAAATGTTCAAGAGGTAGCAAAAACCAGTCCGTGCAAAGCTTATTGTTAAATCATCTGAAAATGGAACTTTTAACAGATGATGATCGACTGTATTGCCAAACATGCGCCAAACTAACTGACTTTCTATTAATAACACTGATGATCTTCAAACATGACTCAATCTCTGACGGAAGGTTCCAAATAGATGAACACTTCAACCTAGCAGACCACTATTATAATCTTCATGCAGATATTTTCACTGTGGTTATGGCGTTGAATCTGGTCATCATTACGTATTGGTCAAAGATGAAACGAACTGGTTTAAGTTTGACGATAGTCGTGTCACAAAGTGTTCTGTCTGGAATTTATTGGAGCCTCTGGAAACACCCTACATTTTGTTTTATAAAAGAAGGGGCTTTGGCAGATCAAGAACTTCAGATGATGTGGTGCTGCAGGTTTTTCCGGGTTTTCCTGCAGCTGAATGAAGTCGCCCCGGAGCGCCAATTAATTTTTGTTGTTTCATAATTTCATGATTTGTATTACTTTCTTCTGTATATTATTCATTAAAAAGTTTGCTCAGGTTGCTATTAACCGTAGTTTGTTTCAAGTTTGCTCAACAGACCATATGTGCATGTTACCATGGGTTTAATCACCGTGGTGTGGAGTCAATACATCGCGTCTGGCTTCAGCTCCCACTTCTTACCATAGGCGCATAGGCGCAAATGTTTGATCCATGTCAGCCTAGGATTTTGTATGACTCCCGGGTATTTGACTTCTCCCGACAGCTGTACCTCTTCACTTCTTCAATTTCGAAATATTTATATCTTCATCATTGTTTGGGACGGGCTATACACTGGAATCTGAAAAATAATATTTTACATTTTCAGTAAAAAGCATGTCAGTTTCGCAAGATCCCATACCATGGCGTCTTTTGATGATGCCATTTCCTCGTTGAGCTCATCTACAAGTCAACTGAGTAGGATAACGAAAAGTCAAGAAAGACTGTTGGATGTGAGAAAAACTGAAATACAACCTATTACAAAACAACCGGAACATGAAATCTTGTCAGGTTAGTATTTCTCAACAACCACAATATTATATTTTTAAATTGAATATTACGAATTATCTGAAATTTTAGATTTCTTTAACCTCAACACAAGTCATTCCAAAGATATGAAAATTGTTTTTTTCAGATAAAATAAAACGAGCATCGATGAAAACGCAAGCAACTCAAACAGAAATTGGTTTAGCCCGAAAACCACTACCTCTAACCCACATTAACTTAAGTCCAAGGTCATTACAGAAGGTAAGTAATCCAGAATATTGGTTCATCTATGAGTAGCACATTTATTGACTCAAGCACTCCTATTCCTCTTGAGTAGCTAGCAATAAGTGATTTTGTGAACTTTTACATATATTCCGTGGGCATACTTGAAGACTGGCTGGAAATCATATTAACTGAAAGAACAATTTGTTCAGGCCAGTCTCAACTCACCTACACTGTAGGTTAATGGACTGAATCTGGACAGGTGGGTCGTGGTGGAATGGAACCAAATATCAAAGGTTTCGTGGTACACGAGAGGTTTCTGAAGTACCAAGTACAAGTGCCAAACGCTCCGTCTGCTACAAAATGTTTGCTACTTCAGATTCCATTCAACCACGGCCAACTAGATCGGAATTTGTTCTCTGCGATCGTGACTTCAGCCGTGAAAGACAATTTTTTTATACCAAACGAAATCATTTATGAACTCTAGTGGATCCTTGTGAACACAACAGGTCAACAAAACAAAAATAAATTCTATGACTCTATCGACTTTGTTTAATAATTTCAACATACCAACACTGCCTATCTTTTCAGTCTTGGGTTCATCAATATTGATCCACTTATTTCGTTGACACCTCAAATTGATTTCATCTGCATTTTACAGGGTTTTCATATTCTTCTCAGAAGAAACGTATGCATTTTGACCAAGCGGTTAAGTGTAAAACGTATGCATTTTGATCCAGCGGTTAACTATGATATTATAACTACCTATAGACTTTGATCTCATGTGTTCTTGAATATATTCGTTACCTCACATATTTCAGAATCTCTTCTGCTGGATTCTCATACCTCGATAAATGTTCATGTCTGAATTGACTCACTCTTGCACTAAATTAAGTGTTGGAAATGGCCTCCTTCGGCTTCAATACAACCGTCTAGCGCTGCATCATTAAATTTCGCACTCTTCTGAAAATACCTGGCGTATTTTTCATTATGTCACATGAATTAAAGATTTTATTCCGTAAATCCTCTTCACTTTAAATAGCAGTTTTGTATACCAACGCTTTAAGGTGTCCCCAGAGAAAATAATCTGAGGGATTCATTTCGGGCGAGTGAGGTGGCCATGGGTGTGGGCCTGCTCTCCCAATCCAGCGATTATGGTAATTTTCATCCAAAAATTGCCGTGCCACTACATTCAAGTGTGATGGAGCACCATCGTGCATGTACCACATACGGAATCTTTCCATGACTGGAATTACTTCTAAAAGTCCAGGTAAAACAAATTCTAAAAACCTTTGATATTCTTCTCCATTAAGTCTAGGTGGAAGGATGGAAGGAAGCGAGGCCCAATGAGATGGTCACCGACAATTCCAACCCAAATATTAAAATGAAACTGTTCTTGAAAATCATTTTCTATCAAGGCGTGTGGATTGTTTTCGGTCCAAATGTGATTGTTGTGGAAGTTACTAATTGAATTGCGAGAAAAACAAGCTTCATCTGTAAACAATATTCGACTTAGGAAACCTGGATTTCTTCTTATTTTACCGCGTAAAATAAGGCAAATCTCTGGGCTATAGAGCTTGCACACGTTGCATGTGATAGGGATATAGCTGCTGGGCTCTTAAAATCTGCCACACTGTGACATGGGTAATATTCAGTTCTTCAGCTATTTTCCGAGTACTGGTATGAGGATTTACTTTAATCTCATTCAGTTCATTCAATTTGAACTGTTAGTACCGTTGCAGGCCTCCCAATGACAACCGTCGATCTTTTAAAGCTGACTGGTTCAGAAAGTCGTTCATGGAGACGTACAAAAGTTCTTCTATTAGGTAATGCACGTTGAGGAAATCTTTCATGGTAAATGCGTCTTGCAGCATTTAAATTTCCGTGAGCCATCCCATAACAGAAATGCATATCTGCCATTTCACTGTTAGTAAATTGAACCATGTTTTACAAAAATGGTTCGAAAAATAATCTCTAAACACACTTTTTATAACAATTATAACTTAAAAGCTTATAAAGTTGACAACAACTGTCAAGTTGTTTATTAAATGCTGCAATCATTTTCCAAGGCAACCCTTGATTATTATTTATGGTATTTTGAGAAGAGTGCAAAATTCAATGATGTGGCGCTAGACGGTTGTATTGAAGCCGAAGTAGGTCATTCCCAACACTTAATTTAGTGCAATTCGTTAATCTAGATGTTATTGTTATTTAATATTTGTTATTATTGTTACATAATTAGTAATGAAAAATTGTAAAAATAATAATTTCCAAAAGAAACATTTAATTCCCCATATTATTCCTTGTGAGGTCCAGGAATATGCAATTAGGTCGACTTTTTTTTTTAAAAACTAAGTAAGATACGAAACAAATTTATGAGACAAAAAAGTTGTATTTCTAATTGCTCAATCCGAAGAAATGATAAAAATTGCAAAAAAGTCAGTGGCGTACATTTTTAAGTCAAAAATATTCGTTCAAATCCTGCTCGAGACGTCACTGGACTTAATAAATTGAATCACGTTCGGGCTAATCTAGCTCGTTAATGTTATAGATACCTTTGCCAAATCACAACAGAATTAGGTAAAGGATATTTGAGATATTTACGAATAACTTTTTTTTTATTTTTATTTCAACACCCTGTATCTTGAGAACGAAGGATTTGCGGACCCATGTTTATATGAACAGTTCGTCTTAAAATTACCTAAAGAATCGTCTGTTGAATTTATGGTACATACTTAATTAACACCCTGTATATTCACATACATTTTGGACTCGATTATCAGTAAATTGTTCATTATGCAACTTCAGCTCCTACGTTTTTTCGTAGATGTGCTACCTCCGCCTTTCTTTACATACTGTGGATATAGGTCAGAGATCTGCTAGAAGCTGTTGGAGGATATGACGACATAGAATCAACATCTAAGTTATTATACTTTTGTAGCCGACTACAACAATAGCCGTTTTCTCAACTATCTAGTTCAACTTTCAGTATGGTATCTAATATCAGTAGAAGATATTCACCCCCCTCTTCAACTCGAAATTCTTGAGTTTATCAATTTGGATGAGCTTATATTGATCCCTTTCCCGTTGATTCATCTTGTTATAATTATCATCCCCTGCTCATCATTCCACTTTTTTGTTCACCTTCTGCTGGGAGGAATAAATAGACTGGTTCAAGAGATGTAGTAGCTCAGCTGAAAGTACCTGCTTTTCCTTTCAAACATATGCTGCTTGATCTGAAACTTGGTATCCATACTGTGATCTGTTAGCCAGCGATACACCTTAGATAGTGTTAGGTACTGAACAGAAGTACCACTGTTTCGATTCTCGTTTGATCTAGCTGAAAGTTATTTTTTGTAGAGTGACATTTCCAAACATATCCATCTGAGTGAGTTTCACGCAACCTAACAGATTTTCTGATTATACTTTCGTGGATACTTGATGTAATTATATAAATGACCATTATTGTTATAATTCAAGGTGCGAGTGGTTTCTCAGGGCGCCCAGACCAACGGCTTAGTCCTGAACGGTAGGAAGCTAACAAAATCTTACTCGGAGGCCGGCAACAAGTTCGGAATCTCGCCCAACAACGTGGAGTACCACCATTTCGAGCCCATCTTAGACCATGAACCGTTACAACGAACCCAGTCCGACGAACCTCCAAGGTCTCCCTTCATCCTCAACCCCACGCCACCCTTAATGTTCCAGGAAGAAGCCCCGCGACCTGTGGAGAGCGAAACCTCTTCCCTGTCGAACCAGGAATCCGAAGGCTCCGCAGGCTCGAAGAAGGAGATCTTCATCGACTTCAAGCCTCAGTTGCCTCTCCCTTTGGAAAAAGTTACGAAGAGGGCGCTGATTAAAGCTCTGTCGGACGGGGAGATTCTCTTGGACCAACGCAAACACAAGAAACCTGATGACTGTGTCGTTCCAGAGAAGCCTCTCCACTCTGTGAGCCACGACAACATCAACACTGAAGAAGAGCACAAGCCGTTCACTCCCTATTTTCAGAATTCTCCGATCCAAAACGAAGGGATTTGCAAACCGCTAGAGGAGAACGTCTACTCTTCTCTGGACACAGGAATGTACGGGCAGGACTCGATCGACGAGGACTTCCACGAGCACTTGATTTACAACAAAATGCTGCTGGATAATCAGAATTCCAAAGAGGAGGGAAGGATTGATATGGAGAGATGGCTGCGGGATGAATGTATTGTTCCTTCCATTAGTTTTTTGCCGGAAAAGAAATCTTCGCCGTTTACTTCTAATGATTCTCTAGCAAATGACGCCAGGTGAGTATTGTATGAGTTGAAATTATGTTTTACATCCAGACTGACCAGCAACCAACACTTACAATAAATAGGGATAACATATGCATATTTAATTTGGTGATCAAAGATGAAATAACAGACCACTATTAACAAACCAGGCAAAATGTGAAGTAAGGAAAGAATAGAGACATAATGAGAACAACAACACTTTTTTTCTCATTCATTTCAAACTCAATCACCATAAATTACCTTATGTTAGAAGAATCGACAAAACTTCAATCTGAGGGGCAATTCTCATCCGCAACACCAAATGAAGTATCAATGAATAAGGTCGACAAATCTTCAACATCTGTTTGTCTCTTAAAATTTGTTTTTCCGTTAACCGGCTGTTGCTCCCCTACGAACGATAACTTTCAAAAGTCGAAACTTGGGCGAGCTAATGACTAACGAGGTTTTACCTTGTAATGTGTGATTCAACACAAGTTGACCGATAGAAAGTGAAAATCGATCGTCCGCCCTTGCGCTTCGATCCACCGGTTCATATAGCAGTTGATTGAGTCAGTGAAGAAAATCACCCACGTCAACCCACCAGCAGTGGCGTAACAGATATTTTTGGGCCCCGCGCAAACCCATTTTCGGGCCCCCCACTAGTTATTTTTGAACAACTGATATAACATAATCAAACAGTTTCGTCATATAGATGAGGGTTGCATAAAATGGTGTATTTACTGTTTCAATCATGTTTCGATTATAAAATTACATCACAAACATACGCGACCTTCAAATAAGCAGGTAGCTTCGCGGCTGTGATTGGCTCTCCACTATAATATTTGTATTATCTTGGGAATAGGATTTTATTGCTCTATTGACAACTTTTTCTGCGCCTACATTCATCCCACAGTGTTTTTAGTTATTTCATTATCCCATCATAATCAATATCAGTGAATGTAAATGAATAGTTTGAAACTAATGTTATTAGTTTTTAATGCGTATCGGAATGTTTTATATCAATAAGAGGCTTGGTGTTTTGTTCATAATACATTTTTAAAATAATTTACTGGGTTAATTAGTTTTCAAAAATGGTTTTAATTAACTCCAAAGTGGATTTGATTCGAAGATTTCCGTCCTATTTTCACAGGCTAAAATACTGCATTTTTGTAAATTTTATCTTTGTATGAATTTCAATCGTTGACCTACATTACAAATATATGCCTTCAGTAACGATTAATTTTGAGGTAAAATAAGATATAGAAACACGAAACAGAACAGAAAGTACTGTAATATCTACTGGCCATTCAGCCGATGTAAACAACGCAGACGCCTGTCATCCTCAGTCCATTCTCACCAAATTGCCGGAACAGAATGTTTCACGATTCTGCCGCGCTCGCCAAATTATCCGCCACCATTGCCAACCAAGAATTGACTCCAAACTCTTCCCTTTCCTTTTGTCCATGAAGTGGAAGAAGGTTCTTCAACACAAAAAGTACGTTAAAAACCGTTACAGCCGTATTTTCAATACAATAATTAAATGATAAAATTTAATATGAGACCCGCCACTCGTCTCGCAGGCCCAATTCTTGTTGGTTTCCTCTTGACGTTTCCTGCTTACCGGTTCGCGCCCCCCCCCCCCAACTCTCGGGCCCCCCAGCTCTCGGGCCCTCCCAGCTCTCAGGCCCCCGGCTCGTGGGCCCCCGGCTCTCGGGCCCCAGGCTCTCGGGCCCCCGGCTCTCGGGCCCCAGGCTCCCGGGCCCCCCGGCTCTCGGGCCCCTCCCTCTGTTACGCCACTGCCCACCAGGATACCGTATCACCGAACGGATACTTCGCAAAACTGGTGAAACACACATGTCACTACAAGGAAGAGAATTCATCACAGCCTGGTATAGGGTCCAATAACTTCGTTTACTGGACTTTGAGAATATCTCGAGTCCTTCATAACAACTAGTGGGAGAAACCATAAACCTTGAAGAGGTCTGAAGCAGCTTACATTCTGAAATAACGACACATTTAGCTCGGCCAAAGTGGGGATAACTTATGAAAACCTTCAATTTAAGCGAAACAATAGTCTCAAAAGTAATTTTTCCTATTGCTTTTCTTTTTCGTTTCATTTCAACAAATTTCTTATTTTTGATAATTTCTCACTTATTTCACAATGAATGAAACCTTTCTCGAAATTTGAATATTTTTGAGGGAGTTACATTACATAACAAAAACCTGAAAGGTTCATAACTTGAAAGTTAAGTGCTCTAATGATCTCACGTGTGGTTTTTTGCTGTCATTATTCCCAAACTAGCAAGTCTTTCCACCCTCATTAGTGCAGCCGCTCATTTCATCCTTGGTCACCAAACCAAGAAAGTTTGTGGAATTGGCCGCGGTGGTAGTGCGCCCGACTCACGATCGGAAGATCGTGGGTTCGATTCCCGCCTCGACCAGATATTTTTCTCGAGAGAATTTATCTGGTTGAAGCTGAAATGATTCTGCAACCGTGTTAGGAATCACACGTTAAAAGGTAAGACCTCGTTAGTCCTTAGCTCGCACAAGTTTTCAACTTTTGAGAGTTGTCGTTCGTATGGGGGCGATAGCTGATTAACGGAAAAACAGATTTTTTTTAAATAGATTATATTGGGTTCAACCACCACTAAGTATAGCCAGTACATCATCCTGACTTCAGCCCTCATTAGTACGTATGGCCAGTTCTGTTTATCATCTCTAAGTGGTGGCAGTCTGGCATCCAGCATCTCTCCCAGTTATTTAACCTTTCGATAATTATATCTCTTAACCTTGAAGTTGTACAGGTATTGGTCCCTCTATCCCGGTGAATGATCATTTGGTCGATTTGGTGTCTCTTCTGTCGAAAAGACATATTAACTCATCCAGCACAAGATTACATAACAATGGGCACAAGATACCCCTTTAGGGCATCTTTGAGTGGCACTACCGTTTTTTCCATAAGGTTGTTTATACCAATCTTCCTGCTGCTTGTATCATCAATCCTCTTCTCTTCGACGCCTGGATTATTGATTGTAAGAACATCGAATGCTTGCTCAATATCCAAGGAGGCACCTTAAAATATTTTCTAGCGGGCAAGCATATTCTGCTTTTTCTGTGATCATTATAAAACCGTTTCCAGTGGTATCGATGCAGTGCTCTGTTTACTGTAACTGTGAAGTACAGTGTGACTAATGAATCCATCCATCACATTTGCTATGCACCCCACGTTGAAATCTCTCATTCTGTTTCCCTTTACTTCGTACAACTTTTATGAATGAAAACTTCTGAGAGTTGATGACTGACATAAACTTCAACAAACAATTTTCCAAAATTCCTATTGGGTTAGTCCCCAACTGCCATGTCCGAAACTAATCGATTGAATTTGGAAGGAATTAACCCAGGTAGAGGCTATAATTTGATATAACCCTATTAGAATGGATTCGCGTGGGATATTCCACGAAGAAACTTCGTTTCCTTTGAATTTCATCCGGCAACGGACAGGATAACTCGATTATGGGAATGGGAAGCAATTACATTCGGGATGAGAGTACATGTTTGGGATACGGTCCAGGTTGTTAATCAACAAATTAATTGGGTGGAAGTTCGCCTCTATTTATGAGATAGAAACACGTAGAGGTAAATGTAAGCTGTAAGAATTACCGAACACTTTGATGAATTTTCTCGGAGAAAGACTTTTAACGGGGATCAGAGATGAATTGATGGAGTCTTCGGTAAATACCTCGTCGAATACGGGATTTTAAATTGGGGACCTTTGATGAACGTTAAACCTTTTGATTAATTTCACGTAGAGTAGGTACTTGAAATAGGGAATTAGGTATGCTTTTTTAGCGATATATATTTCTTCTGTCGGAAAGTCCTGTATGTCAATAATGTTTCAATAATAATTTGTTTTAAGTGAATAACAAAGGAGTTATGAGGAAAAAACAAAAGATAATCATCAATTTCAAAACAATAACTCCTGAAAATATGGTAATGTGAGAGATTTGTGGTGCAAGCATTTTGTAATAAAAATCTGACTACGCCACTGGATTTGTGGATAATATTCCCTGGTTCGCACTAGGTCTTATTGTTTCACGTTGTTGATGCTGGTCAGATGTCGATCAGAGTTGTCTTCTTATCCATTTTTGGCGTTCTGGAGTTCTGGATATCACGTTTGGCTCGTACATCTCCCATTTTTCTGTTAAAGTTGTTGGGATGCTCATAGATCTCAATGGTTTCCCTACGTAGCCGTGCCTTGTAATGCGATGTATTAGGCAAGACAGCCTTTCGTGTTCTTTTTCTGCAAGAACATGTTTAGCTATTGCAGTTTCTCCACTTGGAAAAGGCGGCAGCTACACCTGTGTTCTTGTATTCTGGTGATGATGCTGCGTTTGGTAATTCCGAAGTAAATTGAGCTACTAGAATAGGCATTCTTGTAAACGGCTACGCATGACAGTTGCTCACTCGAGTTTTAGATGGTCGGTATTGTGCCGTGAATTACTATTCATTTGCATTCTCACCCCTCTTTTCATAACACTCTTTGGTTCGACATGAATTGCTTGTTTCCTGTTATCTAGTCCCCTTCAGAAAATATAAGGAGCTATATATCTCTTTGTCGTATTATCTACTGCTAGATTTTCTACAATGCACACAATAGATATTTCGGCTTTTTTCAGCATCACTGGATGAATATCTTCTTATCCAGGCGATATACAGGGTGTAACTAAATAAGTGTAAAACATTTAAGGAGGTGATTCGTCATCGAAAAAAAGATAGGATTTTTCATATAAAGAAATTCCATTGGAGCATCCTTCGTTAAGATACAACCCCTCAAAGGGGGTACATAAAATGTGTATAACAATGTTTTTCACAAACACTAAAAAAGTTACAATACTGAAATTAACGTGACGTTTTGTACTACCAAAAAGACACTTAGCCAGAAATTTATTTGGTTTACCCCATGGTTGTAAGGGGTGGAAAACGAAACCCTTAAAATTTATTTTCAATGTAAATTTTTGTCTTATTATTTGTTTACCATTTAAAAATTTATTTCCGATAGCCTGTCTCCTGGGTTTTTTGCTGAAAATAAACCAGTTCGCAGCAAAAATTTATTTTACGAACAACTAGAATTGCAGATTATTAACGGAAACAAGATGTTCTTTCGGAAACATCCTGTAGATCTAATCTTGTGTGTTCAATTTCTCCCTGAGTATATCTCAGATATTCTCAGATATTGTTGTATTCAGTTAGATACCTTCGTATTGATCCCATGCACTTAATTTCCTTGCCTTTCTAATTTGTTGTGTATGACCAAGGTCTTTTTCCATCTATTCGATCTCTGGTTGACTTTATACTATTCCTGACTCTCTGAGAGTTTCTGATAGAATAAGATCAAGGTTTGAGGTTCTCAATTCTCAAAGATCATGTCGCACTAGTATTTCTAAAATGCCACAACTCAAAAATCGGTATATTTGAGTTGAGGCTATGAAAAAATTGGTAAATATTTCTTTATCTGAACTGTATCAAGTTGTATTAACATCCAAACTGTATCAACTTGATATAGTTCAGATGATACTATATCAACTTGATACAGTTTATATGATCGATAAAGACATATTTACCGATTTTTTTCATATTGATTTTTGAGTTGTGCCCCTTTAGAAATACTAGTGCGATGTGTTGGTGTCCCGAAAAACTAGTGTTTACGAAAGCAGGTTCATTGCTTACTGTATCAAATATCGATGTCTTTCGTTGGTGCACTGATTCTCCAGATGAAAAAGTATGTATTGACCCCACAGGGATTTTTGGTAAATTCATATGAGTCAATTGAAAAAACATCCAAATCGGAGTACCCTACTCGGTGTGTTCAACAATTTTTTTTTTCGAGCAACTCGTTAGAACTGCTGCTGGGAGGATATTTGCGATATAAACTTCCAACATATTTGACCTCAAATAAATTTTTCATTTTCCAGAGATCAATCGGATGGCATTTGGAACGAATCCCAAGTGACGGTGCTCCAAGTCGATTCCGGCACAGACAACGGAACAGCTCTAAGCAGCTCCGAGATGACCTCTGCGACTTCTCCCGGTTCAGCAACGTTGGCTTTAACTCCGTCTTCGAGAAGGAAACACTTACTCATGCTCCAACACCAGCAGCGATCCTCCATCGACACGGAGAACCTCGACGAAGAAATCGCGGACCAAAGCGCCACCTATCCCAGAATAGTTTTGGACGTACCGACGGCCAAGCAATCGGATACGCCTACCGTTCACTTTTCCAGACAATATCTTTCCGTGCAGAATTCGATCCCTATGTGGAAAAAGGTAACATGTTTAGGATTTTTCTGTGTTCTTATTATTGATGTCGACTTCACTATTATCGTTAATCTTTTGTTTTGGTTAGGCTATTTCGTTGGAATGTTACAACAAAATGGGGCCTAAATATATTGATAGTTTTTCTCCATTTCAAGTGTTGAATTTTTAACAATCCATCTATTTATTTGAAATGTCCGAAACGAAATTTCGCAAAACAACGACGAACAGCGCGTTCATTAATACTAATATATTGCCAAAAGCCTGGTTGATTTTTTGGTCTGTTTCGGTTTTAATTTCAATTCGTAGAGAAAATTGGCCGAAAATCTCTCAACGACATCATATAGTAATGAGCTGAAAAAGGGCAATTAATCAAAATTTGGAAAAAAAATGAACAGCATCAATGTATAGAATACAAAATTTTCTATCGATAACTATATAATACGACACTGTAAAATAAATATTCATTGGAATATGGAGCTACAAAAATACATGACACTCAAACGGTCGAAACTTTTGAAAAAAGTTAATAACTAGAAAATGAGAATAGTTGAAACTCAGAGCTTTTGATTCGTATGATTGCATTATTTGTGACAGAAATTGTACTTCTTGAATAGCGCTTCTCTTGCCCTAATTCGTACTTTGTCAGGAAATACGCGGAATGTGAGAAATCTTAACTGCAGTGCAGTTTAAATTTTTAAAATTGCCCTAAAAAAGTCCACGTGTGGATTGGGAAAAATCTTTGTTTTTCATGAGATGCCTTCCACTGAGGTCTGTGAAACGTTGACTATCTCAAAGCCAAAGAAGACCTTCAACCTCAAATATAAATGAAAATACAGTTGGAAAGTTTCGTTTTTCAAAACAAAAATCAAAAACATCACAATACAATTCCATATAGTGTACAAATTGAACTGTGGAAGCTGTCGCAAATGCTATGTTGGTCAAACCGGACGGTATCTTGAAATACAAGTTTCAGAACACATGAGAGACTAAAAAACTAAATATAAAAAGTTCCACAGCTCTCGTTGAACGTAAAAAAATATGGACACATTTTAATTTTGATCATCCAACTATTCTAGATGTTCAACCATATTTATCCAAAAGACTTTTGAGCGAAATGATACATATCCTCAAATGCGAAGAGAAGAGATGCCGATGACCTTAGTAATGCATATTTACCCTTTTTTCATTCTTTTTCTTTCCGCCATTGATTAAAAAACAGACACCACCTTTTCAGAATCACAGATAAAGCCATTCGTTTGTTTCATTTCGTTTTGTGTTGGTGTTTTCTCGGAAATTTGGTTGTTGCAATGTTTTTTATTTTTTCTAAATATGTATCTAATATGTCTGATGGTTTTCAAAATAGAAATATCATCAATACGAAAACATTACTTTTCGGTCAGTAATTTAATTAAGAACTCATTATTTCTTGTGAAATTGAAACGATAATAATCGAATGAGTTTTGTGGAAGGTACGTTTATGAAAATTCATTGTTACAGAGCCCTGAAGAAGAGTTTAATTAAATTCGAAACGTCGGCAAGAAAACAATTGTTATTTTACGAAAACATCGATCCTGTTACCCAATCAACCTTTTTTCAGAAAAATTATTGGATCACTAAACTAGTTAACCTCAAACATAATATATGTTAAAATATTAAACAGTGTTTTCTGTAGGTTCCGGAGTCACCGGCTGAATCTCCTCTACCGGCAGTAGTGCCGGACCTTCTTCTGGCAAGAACGGACTCCTGTAAAACCAATACCGACGTTTCTGAGAGCACGACCACTGACGATTACATCACTGCCAATTCAGGAACTGACAGTTCCCGAAAAAGTGGGTCATTGCAAGTAAGTCACTTACATTGAATTTATCCACTCTAGCATATTTTCAATGTTTCAAAATGTGTTGATATATTTTTGTTCCGTCAATCAGCTGTCGCCCTCTTACGATTGACAACCCTCAGAAGTCGAAACATGTGCGAGCCGGAGATCAATGAGGTCTTACCCTTGAAAGTGCTATTCCTAGCAAAAAATATGCAGAGAAAATCGAAAATCTCATAGTTGGTATTGAACCAAATCCCCTTTTTTTCTTTCTGTTTTTTTTTGGATACATAACCTTTCACAATCTGAGAAATAAACAAAGCTGAATCAATAGAGAATCTGCTGAAGTGTAATAAAGGGTAAACTGAAAAATTCACTCTGAAAAGTTACTGCGTGATATAAACCACTTTGTTCTGCTCATTTTTTAGATTTTAGAAGCTTATAAACCCAAAAAACAGTAAATCCTCCACAAACAAAGTGTCTCAAACAAAGTACTATTATAATAAAATTGATTTGAACACGAGAAATCCACGAGGCATGTGGAAAAGCATAAAATCGCTGATAAACATAACGAATAACTCTAGTTTCAGTAACGGAATCCAGTTTGAAATAAACGGTCAAGTAAAAATTTGCACGGAAACTCGTGAAATTGCTGAAAATTTCAATCTTTATTTCGAAACTAGTATCGAATCCATAGTTGACTCTATAAATGCTAATACAGTTTGGCAAGCGGGTGATGAGGCAGTGTCTACTTTTTCTGAATTTCAGCAGCTAAAGATAGCAGACCTTGCTAAAATAATCAACAACTTGGAAAACAAATCTGGGGCAGAAATTGTCGATATTAAATTTATAAAATATACTTTTGGTGTTATTGGACATGTACTATTGCAGTTTGTAAATATTTCCCTACAATATGGACAATTTCCTAATGCATTAAAAGTCAGTACTGTTGTTCCGATACCTAAAATTCCAAACACAAATAAATCAAGTGAATATCGTCCCATTAATACTCTGCCGGGAATGGAGAAATTGTTGGAAATGGCGGTATAGGATCAACTAATGAAATATATTAACAAGAACAATATCCTAATAACAAACCAATCTGGATTTCGAAAGAATTTCTTCTGTGAAACCGCTCTACAACTGACTGTTATCAAGTGGATACAATCAATTGATAAGGGAGAATACGTTGTTGCAGTTTTTCTTGATTTACGAAGAGCATTCGAGACAATTGATAGGAATATCCTTTTAAAAAAATTAGAATTAACTGGGATTAAAGGGGTTGTGCTGAATTGGTTTAAAGATTATTTGAATGATCGACAACAAGTCACAAAGATTGAAAGTGAATTATCCATTCCAGTCACTACAAAGTTCAAAGTGCCCCAGGGAAGTGTACTGGGGCCCTTGTTGTTTTTGATTTACATAAACGACGTAAACACATACCACACTAGTGACTTTATCAACTTATTTGCTGACGACACGTTACTATCTATAGCACATAAAGACCTGAAAGTAGCTATAGAAAAGATGAACTCATCTCTAAATCAAATTGAGAATTATTTTTCGGCAAATAAAATGAAATTAAATACTTCAAAAACGAAAGCTATGATTCTAACAACCTCTTACAAATATAAACAAATAAATATAAATACTCTTTCCCTGTATGCTGATGGTCAGAAACTTGAAATTGTGAAAGAATTCAAATATTTAGGTTTTATGTTGGACAACAGTATGTCTGTTGGTGCACACTATAACTATATGACTAAAAAGATTTCAAAAAAACTATATTTCTTCACTAGAATTTCGAAACACTTTTCTACAAATGCGAAAATAACCGTATATAATACAATAATACAGCCCCATTTTGATTATTGCAGTACGCTGTTATACAGTTTTGACCAAAATAAAATTATGTCTCTGCAAAAGTTACAGAACAGAGAAATGAGGGTGGTTCTTGGATGTAATCGTTATGCAAGTATATGCTTTATGCTCAGTGCATTACAGTGGATGTCTATTCGTGAAAGATATTACAGGTCAGCAATGATATTTATTTTTAAGATAACCAATCATATGCTACCTTCTTATTTCGAAGAATTTATCATTTATAGAAATTCTACTCACAAAGAAATTCCACTCACAATTGCACTACTAGACAAAATGACAATTTTCACCTGCCACGATGTAGTTTATCAAACTCCATGAAAATTTTATTATATAAAGGCCTCATTGAATATAACAAACTTCCCCAAAATGTGAAGAATAATAAAAACCTGTTTCAATTCAAAAAAGATTTGACTGATTAAATGAAAGGTATCACAATAGAATAGATAGTAAGTGACTCGGTATATATTATGTATTTATGTGTATATCCTTATTATATTATATCCTTACTATGTGTGTCTATATAACATGAAATATTATGTATATTATGTTTGTGTATTAGGATCTTCCTACCAATAAATCATTCATTCATTCATTCATTACAAATTAACATTGTAGTTGGCTGAATGACTAGAACAAACCACTCACGTTAATCAACCGACTATCGTCCGACCACGAGTTTGATATTTCATTTTTCAAAATTATTTATACATTTTTGGGAAAGAAAGTTTTTGGCTTTCTACTACTTCATCTTGATACAAAAAAAGAAGGATGAGGGAGTCTCCCAAAGAAAGGAAGGAACATGACTGTTCATGTTGATAGCTAGACAAAAAATTGAAAGATCCCATTAGATTGCTGGGAGTAGGGTCGCAAGGATCTCACCCTTGCGGTGACCAGCAACGAGACCTTGGGAGAATGTAGATTGAGGCCTTGGCGTCGAGTCACAAAAACCTTGCAGCGTCTCACTACCTGGGGAGTAGACAGACTGAGACCTCGGTGTAGTGACAAATTTTTGAAAATGGCTTCAAAATCAAAGCCGGAACGTCAAAATACTAAAAACACAAGACGCGGTTCAACCCGGACTTTAAGTTATCATATATAAGTATATGAGGGTTAGGTTAGGTTAGGTCTAAAGTGAGTGGGTCTATTCGACCCTCCACCGCAACCCGCAAGGGTTTATTGTGGCTCACACCTATTCACACTCGACCAAACAAACCCAGCTTCTTAACGAAGCCGATTAGTTTGTATGGTGGGTCAGATAGTAAGAGTACGGCTCTGCCGAACTCTAAAAACCCGATTCGGTCCCCAGCGGGGCAGGCACAAAGTATGTGTTCTGTCGTTTCATCATTTTCCAAACGGATGCCTCACACAATGTCCTCCTACAGTCCGAGTCTCTGCATAAGATGATTCAAATGACAGTGACCTGTAAGAAGGCCTGTTGGACATCGTAGTTCATCCCTTCTGCACTCCAACAACTATTTGGTATCAAGCTTCGAAGGGTGAATAAACGCCTTGGAGTGAGTGAATCCTGAAAGATTCTGCCTGAAATCCATAAATCTTCTTGCGATCCAGGTATTCAATGTTTATTTGGCAAAGCCTAAAGCGATGCCAATGACAGGTTCTGGCCCGATGAAGCTGCTCGCAGCACCCTCCTTTTCAAGGGAGTCAGCGGATACCTTGCCTTCCAGGCCAGTATGGCCAGGAATCCAGACCAGAGACAAAATACTGAGTCTTCCTATCGAGGAGAGTCGTTTTTGACAATTTGCTACCAATTTAGACGTTGGTCGGTAGGAGCCAAAAGCTTCCAACGCCGCTTGACTGTACGAAAATATTTTTATTGACTTGTGTATGAGGTTGGATTCTTTCAATTTCTCCGCACACAATTCAATAGCGTAAATTTCCTCTTGAAATATAGTCGCATAGGGTCCTAGACAGGTAGATATCTCTGTCCTGGCTCTGCGACTAAAAACACCTGCACCACAACCGGAAGGTGTTTTTAATCCATCTGTGAACCAACAACTATCTGCTCTTAATATTTTCTTCTCGTGTCCTCTCTACTCGGGAACAGTAGTTTATGAGGCAGTTCGTAGTGACAGTTGGAGGCATCAAGTCAGAGGTCATTTCCAGAATGCTGTGACTTCCAGTGTCTATTGCACTCTGCATTAAATTGATTTGTGCAATTGGCATTGTGCACACGTTTGTATGTAGTCCATCTCTCTCCTGAAAATGTGGAGAGGAGGTAGATCTAGAAGGATCTCCATGGCCGCTGACGGTGTGGTACTGAGTACACCACGAATAGCCAGACAAGCCTGTCTCTGTAAGCCAGAGGGCTTCGCCTAGGCCGTTTTCTGTGGCCTTCGGCCACCAAGCAATTGCACCATAAGTGATCATTGGTCTGACAATCATCACATAAATCCAATGAATTCGTTTGGGACCTAAACCCCAAGTTTTACCAAAAATCCTTCAACATATTTATAGGGACAGTATGGTTTTGTGTAAAACTTTTTCCAAGTGAGTCTTTTATCAAGGACAATGCCAAGATATTTCACCTCCCTTCCAAATGGAATGACCTGACCATTGAGGAAAAGTGGCGTTAGATCGTCCAATTTTCTCCTCCTGGTAAAGGGGATTATCACAGTTTTGCTGGGGATGACATACATCTTCTCCCTCAGGCACCAACTGTGAATCACATCCATCGTACTTTGGAGGATATTACAAGCTACCTTTTCCAATGTAGACCTTATGATGCACTGTTCGGAACCTTTGGTGTAGTAATGAATATTACTGGAGTTTTTTCCCCAACACCAAATCGTTATTTTTACCACCTAGACACGTGTTTCGATCAAAGAGGAAGAATAAAACTGATTATTTTTATCTTCCTTTTTGAAGATGATCACTTGGCCTAATGGCCTCGCCTTGAAGAGCCGTAGTTGCAGTTCTGTTTACCAGCATGGCATAGATCCAGCCAGTTATGGTCGATTCTATACCTTTCCTAGCCAGAGACAATCCTATAGATTTAGATAGTGCATTGTTAAATGCTCCTTCAATATCAAGAAATACAGCAACTGCAATCTTCTTGTTGTCAAGGGATTGGGAGATTTTCTCTACAAGGTTGTTTGATGCTAAATCTGTCGATTTGTCGGTTTGATAAGCATACTGGTGGTTATTCAGAGGGGATGCATATAATGCTACCTCCTGATGTGTCCGTCCAGTATCCTCTCAAGTCCTTTCAACAGGAAGGATGTAAGGCTGATTGGCTGGGTGGTATATAGGTACAGTTCCACGGCAGACTAGCTCTATATGAGGGTGGTCTAATAAAAATACAAACCAGGTTATTTTTTTATTTTTCAACATAGTCTCCTCTTAACTCTACAAACTTCTCCCAGCGATGAACTCATCTCTCATATATTTGTTCATCAAAAGTGAAAAGTCGGTGTAACGTGAGCGGCGCCCAATGCGTGGACAGCTTTCTCATGCCTAAATGTTGATAATATGTGACAAAAGCGTTCTTCTGACATGTTCATAACCTCTGCTGTCTCTCTCACTTTAATTAGGCGGTCGTCTAGCACCATTTGGGGAACGTTGACGATGTTTCCATTGGTAGTTGCAGTTTTTGGACGTCCCGAAAGTTCATCCAATCCCAAGCTCTTAGGGACACGTTTAAATTCAGCTGTCCAAAATTCCACGGTAGTAAATGATGATGGTGTGGAGTCCCCATACACAGAATCCAACTCATTTGTGATTTCCTTTGGCGTATTGCCTTTTAAAAACAAATATTTAATGACAGCTCGATACTCGTTTTGTCCAATTCCATAAAACCACTCACATCAACTCACTCAAACAACTGCGCGTCCAAACTGGCTGAAACTTTGGTGAGTAACTGTCAAAAGATGAACAACGAAATTCACTAGCTTTTGACAAAATGATTAAGGCTTTCGCGTCGAGGTTTTCAGTGTCACTATTTTTTTTTTCAGGTTCGAAGGCCGTGGATTTTTGGTATTTCTTCCTTAATGTTTATCAACCGTGATTTGTTGGATCCCGTATGAATTTGCGGTAGTTTGCAGGGTCTAATACTTCTTCAATTTTGCTATTGTACTCTGCAGTTTTCAGAATCATCGTGATATTTCTCTTGTCTGCTTGAAGAATTGTGAAATCCTCATTATGGCTGCAATCGCTCTACCACCACGACCATCGACTGGAGCTGCGTCCGCCATTATTTAATACTTCCTCCAACACTGTTGTCGAGTTGATTAAATAATTTTCATATTTCCTCCCCGTAGAGGGACAAAATGGTAAAGGTTTTCGCGGCCGAGGTTTTCGGTGTCACTATTTTTCGGTTTCGAAGGCCGTGGATTTTTGGATTTTTTTCCGAACCCGAAAAATAGTACCACTAGCTCGTATGCGTGTTATGTTAAAAATACTAAACCCTTTTAGTTTGGGATCCTTTGCCGAAGACATTTATGTGCTTGAACTCATCTGAAAGCGCATAGAATTTTCTCTGCCAATACGTCTTATTAAAACGTCAAAAATCCTTCAAGAACATTACTCAATGAATTTGTAGTCATTTGAGGGAAATGATAACACAACACAACAAAAAAATATTTTTTGAATGTTTCCTACACTAAATTAGTCAATTTCTACCAATTTTGGGGTGATAAAAACGAAAATAACAATGAAAAATTTTTATTAGCTCTGGTTTTTGAGATACACAGTACTTAATCTTAAAGAGTAGTTATACTATACGTGAAAAGTGAAAGTACAT